TATAGAGTTGGCAATAGCAGGGTGTACCACGGCAATGTATGTAAGGTTGAAAATAGAGTACAACATACATGGTGTAATAAGTGTATTGCCTTCTTTGTACACGCTTATATGGATACATCAAAGTAGTATCAACACCAGGGAAGCTTGGAGACAGTGAATTGTTCTGATAGTAGCTCACCAATTCCTGTGGCATAAATAAACAAACAAACAAATAAAGTCAGTGGGTAAAAAAACATTTTCATATTTGGAATTTTCTTCTTTAGTTTGTACCTGGTTCACAAAGTTTGAAAATACTAGTATAGCTGTATAGCATTGAATTATCGCAGTCACATAGAACACAAGTGTACAAGTTTGTTTGTTGTCTCAAAATCAAAACACAACAGTTCAGCATATATTCAACAATAAAACCAACATGCTGGATCTCAACAATAACGATGCATGTTTTTTTGCAGTGGTAAAAGAGAATTCATTGGATTTACACTGGAGTAGTTTTTAGTGAATCCCTGTTGTAAGGTAATGAATGCCTTGAGATTAGATTTGTTAAATATGTAAAACTATAATCCAAAAGCAATATATCTGGACACTACAAATTAAGGTCATCATTAAAAGCAATCAAAATATTATGCTTTATCCATGAACATGATTTTTGTCAATTTTTAATTTCCAATTTTGAACCAAAAGGACATAATTTCACAAGCGGCTATAGTTAATATCAGATTTTATGAGTATCACCAAGCTGGCAGTAACGTACCCTGGCTTTATACCACCATAAATGTGTTTTTTTTTCAATACAACTTACCGGGATAGACTGAAACATTTTAGAGTCTGCTAAGTAGTACTGTTTATCAGTTGTGCCCCTTATCTTAATGTGTTTTGGTAGTTTGTCATACCTGTGAAGACAAAGTCATATATTACATTATTTGAGGACAGTATTTAGTGTTGCACTACAAATTTTATGGAAATTATGTTCCAAGTTAAAAGTAAATGCGATTTTTCATTATAATCTTATTACAATATTATATCTTTTTCCACTTGTAGTCATAATTTTATGAGATATACCAGTGACTTGTGACACTGTCAAATTTGAGACTTGTAATTTTAATCTCATCTGTATCGGTTCTCACAAGTAGCAAATTCCTACTTGTTTCACTAACAACATAAATACAATGGCTAACTTCTTTTTACTGATAGCTGTCTATAAAACTGATAGTTAGTTTTTCTTAAACTGTCAGATAAAACATAGAGGGTTAATTTCTACTCTGTAACAATGCATTAGTCATTACTTACTTAATACTGAGAGCATAACCACCAGTTCGCATACTATCCCGAACAATAAAACTACCAGGCTTAAGTTTCTCTAGTTTGACCTCTGCAGTTTCTCTCTCCATAGCGCCACCATACCTGTCAGAATAGAATCATGAGAAAAAGAAAAAATTAACACTTTTTATGGTGATAACAGTACATTATCAAAATATAGTTACCCATTCTTAATAAACATTAGATTAAACAAGCATCATCAACTATGAAAAACCTAAATTGAACTCTAGGTATCAGCAAAGATTGAAATGTTCTAAAAGTGCCGTCTAAATTAGAATATTTACTGCACCTTAATGCAGCGTTCTAAAGACAACAAGCCATGCATGGCACAGTCCCCGTTAGTTATCAAATTTAAGATATATAGTTTTGTTTATAGTAATGTAGTTGGAATATAATCATGTCAGAAATATGATTATGATTTTTTAACATTAAATGATTGACATCTTGTATCTGTCAAACGTTAAAGATATTGCTCTGGAACAGCATTAATTAAAACAAAATTGGCCATTTTGAATACATCAATATATCTATAACATACAGTACTCATTTCGCCCAACCTTCCGCCCGCTTTCGAACACTTTTTTTTCGCTCGCTTTGTTCAATTCGACCGGACAATTTCCGCTTTTTGTTTCGACAGCGCAAATCCGAAAGTATCCGCTCACGCGCGAAAATGAAACATTCATGTGAACCTGCTCATATGAGGTCGAATGAGTCTCTGTTTTCAACAGCCGTATACATTTAACTGCGTCATCGCTAAGTTTCCTTGGTGGAGCACGAGCTTTGTTCCTGGTTTGCACGTTATCATGTTCACACAATCGCAGACATTATTTGTAAGCGTGACCTTTGAAATGGCACATTTTCTCAATGTTTTATCGAGTACTTCGCAGGTATATGGCTTGTTCTTCACATTAGCATAATTTTCCTCGAGTTCACTCATCGCTTCCCCACATGCATTTCTCGTTCTTTGCTGCTAACTTTTTTGCACTCTAATATGTTGTTGTTTTTGTCTTTCTAAACAATCAAGTTTATTTTCGATTGAAATTCTACGAGATAGTTTGAATTTGATGACGATTCGAATTCATCCACTTTTACAGTGATCAATATTGCGTTCGAGTTACTAGTAATTACAAGCCTGATTTACATTTTTCTTGCGGTGTTTTTCTTCAATGTATTAAATATAAGTGCTTTGGGAAATAACATAATTATATTGAGTAAGTGAAAGCGTCTGATGAGGCTGTGTCACAACACGTTTTATTTATTTCCAAGATGCACGCGTCCTTCGATTGAGTTTATTTTGTATTTTTATTTTCGAAATGTATCACTGGCTGCATTTGTTTTGTTTATTGTTTTCCTCTCTTTAATTTTTCGTCCGGCTGCTGCCAATCCAATAATTCGGCGCCGCATGTACTCAGACAAGCGATTAATCTCACAGTCATTATACTAGTAGTTTAAGTCCAATCGATTTGTAGAAATTCAGCTATGCAATGATTATATGTGCAGTTTTGTTTTGCACACCCAGACACGAGCAAAAGATTTTCTGAACTACAGCATTCGTATTACTTATGTAAGTTGAGTAAGGGTCATAGTGTGAGTTGCGTTCGCAAATAACGAAGTGTCAAATTATTTTGAGCGCTGTTCGGAATAAATTTAGTCAAAATCACACACAGAAACACACAACACACAAATACTAGTACTCAATACATATCACGATTGATTGACCAGTTATATAGCTGCTTGAACTACGCACACAAGAACGTCAATATGTAAATACAGATCTCAGTTAGACTTGCGTAGCAAATGTTATAATGTGTCAAGTGATTTGAAGGCATCATTGTCCCCCTTCCCATTACAGAGAAGCAATATGCGTTGTATTATGAATCGTCATTAAAACCTAAATTTATTACAAATAAAAATATAGGTTTATAGATACAATGTACGATCATCGTTACTCCAGCAGTTAGTTGGCAAGCGGACGATGTTTCTGAAGCCAGGCATAGCAAGAGCGAGCGAACAAAAGCGAGCAAAAAAAAAATGGTCGGTTTCCAGGGAAATTAAGCGATAAGCGGTCGGGGAAAAAAAGCGATAAAAGCGGAAGGTTGGGCGGAATGAGTACTGTAATGTATAATGAATAGATAAAATTTTAGCATAATCAAGCAAAGCATGTCAGAGATATGGCTCAGCCATTTTGAATCTGATCTGAAAAATAAAATGATGTGCATAAAGAACACATAATGTCTAATGTATGTACCAAATTTGAACAAAATCCATCCGTAAATGCCAGAAATGCTTGATATTTGATGATTTTTTAGCACAAAAATGGCAAAAAAAAATTGAATATTTTTGTCCCAAACCTCTCAAGGAAAGTTCAGAATATAAATAAGACTATTTTGTGATGAGAAATAGATATAGATAGGAAAATGTAACCAGAAATCCACAATCAAAGAAATGCATACGTACCAAGGATAGGATGAAAGATCTGATGTCTTTGTTGGTTCTCTCTGTTGAGACCCTGGACTGACTGGGAGGTCATGTCGACCTTGAATGGATGGCATAGTATTTGGGAATGATGGAACAGTTGGTTCATAAGATCCCTATAAGAGACAAGTCATTGTCAATGTCAGTTCATGTGTTCAGGTCACATTACAACTGTTCATGCATTCACGTCACATTACAACAGTTCATGCATTCATGTCACATTACAACAGTTTATGTATTCAGGTCACATTACAACAGTTCATGTATTCAGGTCACATTACAACAGTTCATGTATTCAGGTCACATTACAACAGTTCATGTATTCAAGTCACATTACAGCAGTTCATGCAGTCAGGTCACATTACAACAGGTCATGTGTTCAGGTCACATTACAACAGTTCATGCAGTCAGGTCACATTACAACAGGTCATGCATTCAGGTCACATTACAACAGTTCATGCATTCAGGTCACATTACAACAGTTCATGTATTCAAGTCACATTACAACAGTTTATGCAGTCAGGTCACATTACAACAGTTCATGCATTCAGGTCACATTACAACAGTTCATATGCATTCATGTCACATTACAACAGTTTATGTATTCAGGTCACATTACAACAGTTCATGTATTCAGGTCACATTACAACAGTTCATGCATTCAAGTCACATTACAACAGTTTATGCATTCAAGTCACATTACAACAGTTCATGTGTTCAGGTCACATTACAACAGTTCATGCAGTCAGGTCACATTACAACAGGTCATGCATTCAGGTCACATTACAACAGTTCATGCATTCAGGTCACATTACAACAGTTCATGCAGTCAGGTCACATTACAACAGGTCATGCATTCAGGTCACATTACAACAGTTCATGCATTCAGGTCACATTACAACAGTTCATGTATTCAAGTCACATTACAACAGTTCATGTATTCAGGTCACATTACAACAGTTCATGTATTCAAGTCACATTACAACAGTTCATGTATTCAAGTCACATTACAACAGTTCATGCATTCAGGTCACATTACAACAGGTCATGTGTTCAGGTCACATTACAACAGTTCATGCATTCAGGTCATATTACAACAGTTCATGTGTTCAGGTCACATTACAACAGTTCATGCATTCAGGTCACATTACAACAGTTTATGCGTTCAGGTCATATTACAACAGTTCATGCATTCAGGTCACATTACAACAGTTCATGTGTTCAGGTCATATTACAACAGTTCATGTGTTCAGGTCACATTACAACAGTTCATGTGTTCAGGTCACATTACAACAGTTCATGCATTCATGTCACATTACAACAGTTCATGCATTCAGGTCACATTACAACAGTTCATGCATTCAGGTCACATTACAACAGTTCATGCATTCAGGTCACATTACAACAGTTCATGCATTCAGGTCACATTACAACAGTTTATGCATTCAGGTTACATTACAACAGTTTATGCGTTCAGGTCATATTACAACAGTTCATGCATTCAGGTCACATTACAACAGTTCATGTGTTCAGATCACATTACAACAGTTCATGCATTCAAGTCACATTACAACAGTTTATGCGTTCAGGTCATATTACAACAGTTCATGCTTCAGGTCATATTACAACAGTTCATGTGTTCAGGTCATATTACAACAGTTCATGTGTTCAGGTCACATTACAACAGTTTATGCATTCATGTCACATTACAACAGTTTATGCGTTCACGTCACATTAACAACAGTTCATGCATTCAGGTCATATTACAACAGTTTATGCATTCAGGTCACATTACAACAGTTCATGCATTCAGGTCACATTACAACAGTTCATGTGTTCAGGTCACATTACAACAGTTTATGCATTCATGTCACATTACAACAGTTCATGCATTCAGGTCACATTACAACAGTTCGTGCATTCAGGTCACATTACAACAGTTCATGCATTCAGGTCACATTACAACAGTTCATGTGTTCAGGTCACATTACAACAGTTCATGCATTCAAGTCACATTACAACAGTTTATGCGTTCAGGTCATATTACAACAGTTCATGCATTCAGGTCACATTAAAACAGTTCATGTGTTCATGTCACATTACAACAGTTCATGCATTCAGGTCACATTACTACAG